CATATGGCAGACGTTGGAAGTGAGCATGACAGCAGTAAAAATGGAGAAATGAATTTGTCGTAAAAATGGAGAGAGACGAATTCCGTGCAATGATTAAACATTTTTATTTAAAGAAGTAGACGCAGATTATAATATGATAAAGATGAATTTTATACGGACGAAGTTTATAGAGACTCTGCACCAGTGTTGAAGACTGTTTATTTTTGGATTAATGAATTCAAAAGAGGCCGGACATCAATCAAAAATGAAGCGCGATGAACTTTATAATAGTAACATTTAACTATTATATATAAATGAAATCTGACAAATAAGATTATTGAAATGAATTTCTAGAAAATTATGCTACAAAAATTATTATCTAATCTTAAAACTTAAAAAAAGATAAAAATTTATTACCTTTTTATGTTATTTAATTATATAAATGTGATTAAAGATATACTAACCATAGGTACCAATAAGTCCAAATCAAGAAATTGAACATTTCTGAAACATGAGGATGCACTGGTGTGAAGACACTGTAACAACAGCCAAAAGAACAGCATTCCTTTGGAGGAGAGCAGCTACAAAGTAATAAATTTACATTTTTTTTATTTACAATTCATATATTTCTCAGTTTTGTATCGCATGATATTTTCAATAATATGATTATAAAATAAGATACTTACATATGCCCTCCATCGCATAGCTTAGAAAATACCTTAAAAATAATATAAAATATAATTATAATCATATATTATTTCTTTTATAACTAAGCAAATCGATTATAAATATACGATTCAGAGCATGCTAATTGCAAGAAAAGTAGAAAAAATAGAGATTCTCTTTTCTATTTTTCTTTTTTCTTTTTTTTTCGCTCTTTATTAATTATGTGTATAATGTTATAGTATGTAAAGCGATTTTAATCCAAAAAAGTAAATCTTTTTTAAAATAAAAGAAAATAATAAAAATAACAAAAGTTATTAAATAGCAATATAATAAAAAATACTAATGATGATAAAAAAATTGATAGACTATTAAATATTTTATCAATCGATAGAAAATAAAACATAAAATTTTACTAATAATTTTTTAATGAATTTATTTGCTTTTTCAAAAAATTACAAAAATAACATAATTTCTTTAGTATAATATATTGAGATATTTATTCAAATAAGTGCAATTTTTACAGCAGCAATATTTTCCATAAAACTATCCATAATAAAGATTGCGATTCATCACAATTCATAATTATAATGTAAAAACTTTAAACAAAATTTGTTTTTATTTCTTAAAAGTTACCCTAAAAGATCTTGAAATATGTAATTTTTATTAATTTTATATTAAAAAAATTGTTCTATGCTTAGAACGATACACATAAAATTAAATAAGAAATAAAACTATCATTCAACATTTGGTTTCCTTAATAAAAAAGATACAATTATAGAGCAAATTTATTACTTACTAATTAATAATAATTAATATAAATTGTGTTTCATATTTTCATCAATCAATATATTTTCACGAATCAATATATTCAATATATTGTTTTTTTTTATTTTATATATTCAATATATATTTTTTTCTTATTTTTTTCATATAATTACAGTTGTATTTATATATTACTAGATAACAAATCAAATAAAACAAATTTTTTTCAGATATTTTTTAACTCACTCGCTTTTAATTATTCAGACTGTTAAAGTATACTTTCGATCTCTTTCTTTTAAATGTTTATACAAAAATACATAGAAAATAAAAATTACTTTAAAATAAAGAATAAAAAAGAAATTAATATTTTGATCGTTTTCTAATGCACTTTTCCTCAATCTTATAATTTATATCGATAAAATTTTACATCATACTATTTTATATAAAACTTTGATATGTGCGTATTTAGATAAATTGCAAGGAACTTAGAAGAAGATTTATTTATTAATGAAAATTTTGTATTCATTATAATGTTTAATAAAATAAAAAAGAATCTTTCTAATAAAATCTATTTATAATAAAATCGCATTCCAGAAATAGGAGCCGCTGACCGTTAATGGGCTGAAAGGAGCGTGAAAAAGACTTACGCATGAATGACAAATACAGCGAACGTGTATTGATCGGGAGTGCGGCGAGGAGGAGCCGAACGGATTAGGGTTGTATGGATGAGAGGGTGCGGAAGAAACGCTCAGCGCGCGTCTCCAACCATGTAAATGTGCTTCCGACTTTTTCTCGCGCAAGGCGCGATTATACGATTACCCTCCCCTTCCGTGCAGGATGCGGAAACGATAAATGCATTACGGAGTTACGGAAAACAGTATTTCGTGTCGGTCTTACTTGATCGACGAGCAACAGCAACGTGAACGTCAGAATGACCGCGACGAAGGGTGCACTGAATATTCGACCCCTCGCGATCCGCACCATAATTCTACTACCGGACGTCCACTGCCAGACGTCCGTGCCACTCCGTGCACCACGCACAGTATTATCCTCCCCGACGACGCTCGTCGCGTGTTCTCGTCCTCGTATATCGCACGCCTCGCGCGCAGGAATCTACTCCGATCGTTTACACTCATGCGCGTCGCGTGGCGCGAAACGGTTGCCAAGTATATCGCGAGTATATCAAAGCGGTGGCTAATGTTTTACGATGTTTTACGATAGCCAGATTTATTGAGAATAGATTTTGCAGAGTGTTTACTAAGAATTTTGTTGGCCAATACCGAATATCAAAGAACACAAGAGATTCCGCTAACGGAACATGACAGATTAACCACAAAGAGAGAGAGAGAGAGAGAGAGAGAGAGAGAGAGAGAGAGAGAGAGAGAGAGAGAGAGAGAGAGAGAGTAGAGTATAGTATATATATATATATATATATATAATATATAATATAACTAAATTAAAGTACTAATTATATAATTATATATATTAATATATATTATATATATATCTATATATATAACTTTATATATAAGTACTAATAGTACTATTACTAATTATAGATATATATATATATATATATATATATATATATATATTATAAATATTCTCAAATATATAATAATCCTTGAATATATAATATATATATTTGGAAATATCTGTTTAACAACAAAATTTTCTGTTTAATTATGCATAATATTCAAAGGAAATCCTATTATGTATTTTTCAGAATGTCGTGAAGAAGAGTAAAGAAGCGTGCCTTTAACTAGAAATATCCTCAAGATATTTTATTTCAGAGTCTTGAGAAAATTCTTGTCTGTAATTCTTGGAATACCCGCATAAAACCAGAATGTTTTAATTTTTTATTTAATATCAAAGATTATTAATTCAAATTATTGAACATATTTTTAGAATTATTTCAAGAAAAGTTTAAAAATTATAAAATACATTACATAATAATATTTATCTTAATAATATGAATAATAATTAATGTTACCTTGGCGAAAATAAAAATCGGGAAGAAAAAAGTGACAAAAGTTAACGAAGAAACTTCTTTCCTTTTACGTCCGAATTTTTATTTTCATCAGAGTGATAAATTCTTAAATTTAAGAATATATAGATATAATAAGAGTAATGGCAAATATATTCTCAAATGTGGATAATTAATATCTTTGGAAACATCTCAATATCAATTATGTCTTTTAAAAATGTATTCGTTATATATTTTCATTCGTTATATAAATTTTCATTGGCAATAAATATCAGAATCATAGTAAGAATTGACCAATCAAAAAATGCTTCGAAGCATTTGTAGCGCCAAGTACACCTTCTGGCAGTCAAAAGAATTTCTAACAGATTTTCTAACCTCAAAAAACATCACACCAAAACTACAAAAAACAATACATAAAAAATTATTTTTCCGATTAAATCTGGATGACTCTTATCAAAAAATTTTATTAGTAAGTTGGAGATTTAATTGATATAAATGAAACTTTATGCGATTTATTTATTTATAACAAATTACCGATTTTGATGTCTCAAATTTTATTTCGAAACAAAATATCAAAAATATATTTTGATTTAAATCTGAAGATAATAATTTTTATTTTAAATATTTTTCTAAACTTACACTGATAGTTGGAATCAATTTTTATGTCAATTATTATTGATTTTTAAAGATATAAACCCTGGAAGTTTAAAAAGATAAAATATTTGAATCATTTTGACACTGATTATACAGCAGACAGTATGTCAACAGACACATATGAAAGTGAATTAATAGCAGAAATCACGGAGTTGCGTGCATTGCTGCATACAAAAGAAATTGAATTAGCTCAGTTGCGATACAAAAAGCAAGTTTCACAGGAGTATGGTTTGAATAATAATGAAATTTGTAGATATAGCCGGCAACTCTTTTTGCCAGAGATTGGTGTACAAGGTATGTATAAGATTTTTTAACATGTGTAAAGAAATTTTGCGTAATCTGTTTCTTTAAAATATACTGTGGTACTCTTATAATAAATCTTAAAAAATCATGTATGTACAAAAATATAAATATATTAATATATACAAAAAGAGATAACATTTTTTTTCAATTTAGGTCAAAAGAAGATCAAAGACAGTTCCATACTTATTGTAGGGGCTGGTGGTCTTGGTTGTCCAGCAGCATTATATTTAGCATGTGCTGGTGTTGGTTGCATTGGTATAGTAGATTATGACGACATTGAAATAAACAATCTTCATAGACAATTATTATATACAGAAGCAAATATTGGAACTGCTAAAGTAATTGCAGCAGCTGAAAGTATCAATAGGTATAATTGTATTATATAAATTACAAGTTAATCAAAAGGTATAAATTATTTTTAGGAACGATTTTCCACAATAATTTATTTTTTTATTCTTGCAGGCTAAATAGTTATGTAAAAGTTGTTCCATATAAAATTCAATTAAATAGTAAAAATGCTATGGATATCATAAAGAATTATGATATTGTAATAGATGGTACAGATAATGTAGCTACTCGTTATCTACTGAATGATGCATGTGTTTTGAGTGGAAAACCATTGGTTTCCGGCTCAGCACTGAAATTTGAAGGACATTTCTCGGTATTTAATTACAATAATGGTCCTTGCTATAGATGTATATTTCCTATACCACCACCACCAGAAACTGTAACAAACTGTGGAGATGGAGGTGTTCTTGGTGCAGGTAAAACTCGCTTCCGTAATTTTATTCTAAAATTCAGTCAAACATACATATTTTGATATTTTGTTTTCTATTATTGAATATTTAGCTGTAGGAATAATTGGCGTACTGCAAGCATTAGAAACATTGAAAATAATACTAAGTATGTCTGATATAACTTCTGGACGACTTTTATTATTTGACGGAACGGAAACAAAGTTCCACAATGTACGCTTGCGTCCAAAAAATCCAGATTGTGCAATTTGCGGGGAACATCGTGTTATTCATGAATTAATAGACTATGAAGAATTTTGTGGTGCAAAGGCTAATGATAAAGAGCCTAATTTAAATTTATTAAAGAAAGAAGAAAGAATATCAGTTGAGGAATATAATCAGATTGTGAAAATCGATTCAAAACCTCACATATTAATCGATGTACGTTCACCTGAGGAATATCAAATTTGTCACTTACAGAATTCTATTAATCTTCCTTTTACACAACTTAATAAGGATCATAATTTAAAATTAATAAAAGACAACATCAAGAAGGTGCAAGAAGAGCATCATTCAGTAGATTGTAAGCTGTATTGATATAATATTTGCTTTGTAATTTTTCTTTAAATTAATTTTTATACGATTAAAAATTAATAACTTGTATTTATTCTTCCAGTATATCTTATGTGTAGACGTGGTAATGATTCGCAAAAGGCTGTCCAATATTTGAAAAAGATATTGGCCGAAGAAACCTTAGAAATAAGAGACATAATTGGAGGTATACATGCTTGGAGTAATAAAATTAATCAAAAAATTCCTAAATATTGATACATTATGCGAAAATCATACATCATACGTATTGATATAAAAGATATTTTTATATCTTTTTTATTTTATTGAACATGATTGACAGAATAATATATATTACATCTATAAATAGATCCTTATATAAGTATGATTATTGAAAATATATAATTTTATTTTCAAATATTATATATTTAATTTGAATATTTTTCTATTTCTTCCAAAGTTAGACTAGTTTCCGGATGTTTATAATGGAAATCTGATAAGTTTCTTAATTTTTCTGCTGCCTGTTCTGGTGTCAAATCTCTCTGTGCTTGAGCTAAAAGCTCATAGCCAACCATGTGTTTTTTTATAGTAGCAGATCGTAATAAAGGTGGTAAATATATCCCGTGAAAGGTCCAATATGGATAATCATGATTTTGATATGGACCCGTTGGAGCGCCTTTAATTACATATCAATCAATCAGTAATTATAAATTATGACGGATTAAAATGGTACTGGAAAAATATAATTAAATATCTAATAATTATTATTCTTTACCATGCCATCCCATTGAATACGGAAAAGAACATTGAAAGAGATTGTCATATTTTATACATAATCTCTTCATGATGATGGACAGAGATTCTTGCTGACTATCCGATAAATCTTGCATTCGAATTACTTGTTTTTTTGGTAAAACCATAGTTTCATATGGCCATACTGCCCAAAATGGTACTACAACTATCCAGTCACGATTCTCCATTACAATGCGATCCTGCAGATTCATATAACATATTTATTTAAATAATTTAATTGCATTGTAAATAATTCAGAGCGATATTAAATATAAATGCTCTTAAGTTTTTTATATCTTATATCAAAATATATATTGTTTACAATAATTTTAACCTTTTTTATGACTTCTTTTTGCATATAATCAATTAGAAGAGGTCTATTATTACGCTTGTAATAATCGTTGAGATATCTGTCTTTTATTTTAACTTCGTTCGGTATAAACGAACTAGCCCATATTTGACAATGAGGATGTGCATTACTACAACCCATCAGAGCACCTCTGTTTTCAAATATCTGGACCCAAGTCCATTTCTCACCTAATTCCAACATCTCAAGAATCCATCTATTGCATTTTATGTTTATTTATTAAAAAAAAAAAAGTGACGTTCTTATCATATATTACTCACTGTTTGATCACTTCTTTAATCTCATGAATTTTCATCAATGCTATTGTTACATTTGACTTTGGATGAAAACACATTACTTTACAAGTACCTTTAGCAGATTCCATTTGAAATAACTCATCATTTATTTTTGGTGGATCTGGTACTGATTCTAATAAAGCAGGAAAATCATTCACGAACGAAAATGTATTTTGGTACATTGGAGTTACCTGTAATATGAAATAACAATTTTGAGTGATTTAATAACAATAAAATGATGAATTTTTCTTTTCAGAAAATTGTCAATTCATACATTTGTATATGATCAAAAGGAATTTTATCAAGGATTTATGAAATCTATTATTATATTGAGTATATAAAATTTAAAATTTTGTTCTATCACAGTATTCTGCAAATGAAAAATAATATGCCATTACGAATAGAAATGTAGACAATATAATACTTAAATTATATAATAAAATATTCTTTTGTTAAATAAAGTAAAAAATTTTTTATTACTTTAATAACAAAAAATGAAGTAGTGAAATGTTACTGCAGACAAAATGCGTATAATGAACTGACTTTTCCACTAACTCTAACATTTCCTGGACAAAGTGGATTTTTGGGATCATAATCTGGAAGTTCTTCATTTACACTGGGTTCTATTTGACCTCCCCAAGGTCGTTTCATACGATGTGGTGACACTAGTACCCATTCTCCTCTTAATGGATTATATCTTACATGTTGATGTTCTATAAAATAATCAAGTTTTAAAAAAATTAGTTAATTGTTAAAAGTTAGAAGATATTATATGTCTAACCAGTTGGATCAAATGTCGATGATTTGGCATTATCTCTTGGTACATCTTTTGTTCCATATTTACTTTTGTTCCCTGATTCATCACCTATTACAAAAGCAAAGAATTACACGATCTATTTCTTTAAGATATTTTTAATATTATCAAAGAGAAGAAATTTATGAAAAATATATAATGAACTTATATAATATACAACTTATACTGAAAAATTATGTAACAGAATAGAATCTTATCAGTTTACATATTTCATATTTTATGTAATCTTCTTTTTGCAATTCATAACATTTTAGGCTATGTGAAAAAAATTATAATACAGAATAAATATTATTATGATACTACTTTTATTTCATACTAAATTAAAAAATTGGATACAAAAAACATTTTTGAAATATAAAATGTCTTTTTTTAAGAGAAAAATCAGATAACATCTCTTGCATGGCACTAGACTTCGCTAATATTATAATAATAAAACATCGATAATATCAAATGTTTACAATGTAATGGTTACGAGTGGATTACCTTTCGCCGACATTTGTGAATAAAAGCCTGACGAACGACTTCTTCAGTAATTAGTATCACAGAAATTGGCGATTAAGGAATACATGTATATATATATATATATATATATATATATATATATATATATATATATATATT